AATTTTCAGCCGTTTCTGCTTTGTCACAAAATGTAAAGAAAAATGCATTTTGTTTAATCTTGATTTTTTTTTAAATAAAGGTTAAGTAAGGCTGTACTACGTCGATGTTAATAATATAATTGCTATTTTATGTGTAATACTCATTGACTTACAATTATATGGACGTCGGTTCCGCGCTAAAAAGTGTCCGAACTTATAGGGCGTTAAAATCGTATACAGAGCGTCATTCACGCTCTAATCTTCGTTTGTTCGACTGACAGCGAAGCAAGCAAAATTAGACAGTACTGCGATGACATTACAATTTAAATTCAACGTTTTAGCTTTTTCATATTCCTTGAAATGTCACTACGTTTAAATAGGTTGACTTGGGACATTTTTTTCGTGGTTTTTGTATTAGACCCGTCGTCCACTTAGTTGTAAGACAATGGTTAATACTCATTAAAATGTGAACGTTATTTATTTATTGATTTTAGTTCCGCTAAATTTGCCGGCGTGTGTAATCGCTTTTGAGTTATAATCAGATAACTGTAAAATAAAAATCAATACTTACAGCTCGATGAGTAACAAAGGAAGTTCTTCCCTGCAGCCTAGGGCTGACTTTTCCTGGAGTATCTTCATCGTCTCTCCTAGGATCGAACCACCCCAAAGCCGCTCCCACCACTAGCACAGCACCAAGTATCATCAGAGCCAGGAACCCACCAATGGCTGCCTTCGTCGTTTGTGATATTACCATTGCCATTTTGACCTAGACTTATCTTCTTATCAACATTATTAATTTAAATTCTAACACTTTCTAACCATTTCTAGTTACAGTAGTAGGTGAATAGCTATTAAGCCATTGTAAGTAGCTTAGGGCAAATAGCTTTAAGTCTACACTTGGCTCATAGTTTTATTGATTTGGAAGTGCTAGTTAAGTTCGTATTACACGGACACATTTTTCGAAGCTCATGTTTCTGAAACAAAACAAAGAAACATTTAATTTAAATGATCAATTATCATTTCTAATATTGAAATAAACTGTAATTCTTAAAATTAAAATAGTAATGGAAAAGATGCTGCGTTAGTTGTTATTATTAAAAATCTGATGCCTGCCAACGTTACTGAACAAACCGATATAGTTACCACGTTATTTTCAAATGTATCCTAATTATATACAAATAAAGTTTCTTTTATTCAATGTTTTCGCAGTGTACTTGTCTACAGTGCCAATCTAAATTGCTCTTGCAAATACGTTTCAAAGCTTAAACATTCAAAGTATTGGTATCTATTAGAAAAAGCGAAGTCGGAAGGGAGGGACAGGCTCGACGGCAATCTATTGTATGCAAGTAAAGTATCCGATAACCTAGATACGTATTATTAGAAGGAAGGTAAATGTATAGTTGGAAGTGGTATCTTGATTCGCTTTGTTGTGAACCGTTGGAGTAACAACATAGACCGAAATTTGTTGATGTCGTAATTTTTGAAGCTAGCCTGTCCCTAAATACTTGACAACTGGTCTGCCAATATATCCGCATGTACTTCTCAAATTACTGTAGTTTCTATAAAGTTCTATTGATAGGCGAGGTTTGTTCTATACAAGAACAAATGCAAAATCTTATAAATAGGACATCTGGGAGTATTGTAAGTCAAATTTCTCTAAAAATAAAACTGTCTCCGTGGCCGAACGGTTACCTTGCCGGACTGCCACGCAGAGGTCCCATGTTCGATTCCCGGGCCGGGAGAAATATTTGTGTGGCCTACATTTATTTCTCTCGTGAGTTTGGGTGTAATTTGTGGTTGTTTATGTGTGTGTCCATCACACCCGCGACACAGGATCCCTGGTGCTGGGCTATGTTGAGTGTGTGCGTTATTATTATTATTATTAAATCATAATGTAACAATATGGAGTACAAAATGCACTTGTAATAACAGAAAGTCCTCGGTCCGACTCCCAGTACGACCAATTTGGGAAATGAACTTTTTTAAATTGCTCCTATGTTTCCGCATATTTCGTACATACAACGTATATTTATGTATGCATACAACGTATTTGCAAGAGCAATTTAGATTGGCACTGTAGACAAGTACACTGCGAAAACATTGAAATGTATGTTTTTGGCAAAGCCAAATTAAGGGCAGAGCCTATTGTTAACTTAGAATTAACAATTTTACATATCGATGCCTTACTTTCTCGAACTCGTATCTTATAAAGAATGATTGATTATTCAAGAGATGACAAAACTTTTCATTTATTTTAATTTTTTTATCAAGGGTAAACATTTGGAAGTATTGCTTGTTGTTTAGGATATTAATTTTTTAGGATACGAGTTTGAGAAAGTAAGGCGACGATATAAAACTATAATATCCACACTAGACTAAACCTGACTCGTGGGAAGCAAAGTAAGTAAATATATACATATATATAAATAGATAGATATATGTATATATGCGTCTTATAGCAACAATAATTAAATTTAAAAAAAATACGAAAACAAAAACAAAAACAAAAATAAATGAACTTTTATTGCTCTGCTCATAGTACTCGTCAATGGAAACCGTGGTAGCCTAATAGTTTGACCTATCTCTCAAACAGAGGCGGTGGGTTCGAATCCAGTGTCACACCTCTGAGTTTCTCGGAATTTATGTCCGAAATTTAATATGAATTTACCAAGAGCTTTTCGTTAAAGGAAAACATTGTGATGAAACTTGCACGTCGGTGAAGGCTTACAATCTTCATCGACGTGTGTGAAGTCCCCAATCCGCATTGGGCAAGCATGACGGACTATGGCCTAAACCTCGCCTGAGATGGGACCTGTGCCCGGCTGTGCGATCTATAAATCGATAGATGATTAAGATGATGATAACGATGATGACGGTGGTACTCATAGTACAAGAAATTCTCGAGTTTGAGACTATACATATATATAAAGTACGTAATATGTAAAAGTCCTAAACATTATCAATATAATTTATCTAAAAAACATGACAGATGAATTCGATTTAAAATCAAATGTTCTTTTCATTTTAAATAACGAGGCAAAGTGTTAAAAAAGGGCATAACGAACTATGCAAAGGAATTGGGTACGCACAATCCGCGTCTGAGAGGCCATCAACCGGTGGTCGTGCACAGCAGACCAGCGACAAAAAGGGTCAAAACAGGTAGGTATGTTTAAATTGTTAAAGTATGTTTAAGAGAATTTCATTAAAATGTGAAGATCAAAGAAAAGGAAGGCAAGCATGGACGCGGAAGACCGATAAGCCTTGACCAAATCAAAGGGAAAGTTTGAGTCACGTCGAAGGCGGTTCTCTTCAACATAAAGGTCACTTACACCGAGTGATCCACAGAATTACGGGACGAAAGAGCTTTACAGGCTCTCTTAAATCTACCAAGAAATACGAGGTAGCTGGTCGACAAACACAAATTAGCATAAAAAATATCTTGTAATCTAAGAATAGTTATGATTTCCAAATCATTACAGACCAATGTTCTAAAATTATAATAATAAAATTATAAAAATCTTTATTGAGTCAAGACAATGTCCTTTCAATAAATATCTAAATTTTGTAAGTAATGGATTATTTTGGCATTTTTATGTAATTAAAGTAGTGGATTCGACTTAGTAGCAATAGAACGCCTAGTGAAAGAGTTTGTCTAGGGAAGTACTGCTATTATAGCTCTTTCTGTTGTCAAGCAGATATTTGAACATTACCGCATTTCGGTTTTGAAGTGTAAGGGTGCTGGTGAAATTACAGATAACGGGTGCAGTTATTTCTTAATAAATTTCAGTGAATCGTGGTTAGGTGTTTAACGCACGAAGAAACACTGGGTTGAAATGTCAGGGATAATATCATCTTGTATTATACTAAAATTACAAAACGGTAAGACCTGTGTCGGCAGCTAGCACTTCTTTGCGTAGCTTTCTGGACTATTGCTTGGTAGATTTTCAAAGAAAATTCTCAATTATAAATAAATAATACACACACTTATAACCCCGCACTAAGGAAACCCTGTGTCGCCAGTGCTATGGACATACACATATACAATCACAAACCTACAATCGCGAGAGAAATAAATGGAAACCGTACAAATATTTTTCCCGGCCCGGAAATCGAATCCGGAAACTCTGTGTGGCAGACCAACATGGTAACCGTTCGTCCATCGAGGCAGTTGCATTACAGTAAAACATTTCTTCCACTGGAGTATACAGTGAAGCGAGAAAAAGACATTAATAAGTATTTGCACGCCTACCTAGAATTCCGACGTTGTTCTATATATTTTTAACCTTACATTAACTACAATTGGTTGCCACAAAAAAACAAAAGATTAAAATAAGTACATCATTATTTCACCGCATAGATCTCTACGCCAAAATTCCGCACGAATTTTTACCCCAATGTGCGCTTAGCCGGTGAAGGAAAACATAAAGCCGTATGTACATAAGTGTCTACCTTAGCAATCTACACATAACAAAAGGGGAGTTACGTAAACATGGCTGTAGGTGATAAGGGACGGACGGAATTTCCTGTCGAAACGAACGAGCCACGTGACTTGGCGCTTTTCTCGGCGTGAGTGCCGTGTAATATTTGCGAACAGATGTGAAAGTGAGGCTGTAGAAATACTGTAGTGATAATCGTCAATGTGGAGACGTATAGTTTAAAGTTGTCGATGTGTGTAGCTATAGCCACGAACCGTGTCAAACCAAAAAAATACATTTATATTGCATAATATAGAAATAATAGTATATTGCAAAATAATCTATTTTTATTGGAAACGAATTAATTTGTTTTGCATTGATAACGGCCGACAAACTCTTATGGTAAGGAAATAACCAAACCTTACCTTGATGTGTGTGGATAGTCTCCTGGCGTAATTTGAAGACGTCATGAAAACGTCGTATAACTCCTAACCATGACTTATGTAGACGGGGCGTCTGACTCGAATAACAATGTTGCACCCCTGGATTATGCTTGATACACACCGTGCAAGTGTTACAAGAATATACCTACAGCAGCGAACAGTACCGGAACTGTCTATTGATGTACCGGAACTGTCATTACACAGAATAAGATTGATTGTCCAGAGCTCCTCAGTAACATTATACTCAAAGTTCCAGTTAAGAAGTTTCGTAAGAATAATTTGCTTCATGTTCCATTTAGTCGTACTAATTTTAGTATGAATAATTATCTACCAAGATCACTAACATTATTTAACCAAGTCAATGACGACGGTCGCATAGATCCTTTCTATAACAGCGTTAAGAATATAAACACTATTATGACAATTAACTTATTTTCAAGTGACTGATAAAGCGATTATTGTGTTCTCATAGAAGCGTTAGTTTGTGTTATGTTTTTATTTCCATATGTGGAAGCTTTTACTTGGCATCTGATTAATCATATTAAAATCCATGTAGTAAAAGTAGCTGTAAGCTCGCCTAAGAAAATAAAATAAATAGAATAAAAATAAAATGTGCAGTTACGGCCATATACATATTTTAACTGCATTATGGACTATGATGAAAAGTCTTTACAAATGTCAAATTCGCACACCGGCTTCAACACTGATACGAATCAAAAATAGTACTTGTGTTTTCGAAATGATAACCCATAGACCATGTACTTTTTATATAATAAAACAGGTAACTTCAGACTGGATATTGTGTTTATCGAATCCTTTGGTTTACGTGTTAGTTATATTATTATATTTCGGAACTAAATCGCGTAGAGTGCTGGTAATGATAGACATTCAAGAGAAGTGTCTTTAAATTTGAAATAGCTTTTTATTCTAAGCATTTTTATCAATAGTGATTAGTTTTTTTTTTTTTATTTATTTATATACCCTTAGATTCCCATTGAGGTAGGCAGACTATCGATCGCCACTTAGCACGATCCTTACAAACCTTTCTTGCTTCACTTACATTCATCAATCTTTTCATACATACCCTCTTATTCTTCTCACTACCCACTCCAGCCT